TACTTTGGGCATCCCTGAGTTGTTTCTCCTCACCTGTAACCCTGGGGCTGACTGCTCTTCTGTCCGGGTTCCTGGCTTTTTATCCCCTTCCTCCTGCTCTTCCGGCCTGCTACTCTGGGTGGGCCTGAGTTGCCTCTCCTCGCCTAATCCCTTCGGCTGACTGCTCTTCTCTCTGGCTTCCTTGCTTTTAATCCCCTTTCTCCTGCTCTTCCCGCTTGCTACTTTGGGCGTCCCTGAGTTGTTTCTCCTCACCTGTAACCCTGGGGCTGACCAAATCTATTCTAAAAGTCTTAAAAAAGCAAAGGTGTCACTCTGACCACTAAGGTGCACCTGACTCAAGCCATGGTATTTTCAATGGCCTCATGTGCATGCAGAAGAAGCTGGGCCAAATAAGGAAAATGGAAGTGCATTTGAATATGGTGTCAGCGAAGAATGGACTGCCAGAAGAACCAACAAATCTGTTGGAAGAAGCACCGCCAGAATGCTCCTTAGAAGGGAGGATAGCCAGACTTTGTCTCACATACTTTGGACATGTTATCAAGAGGGACCAGTCCCTAGAGAAGAACATCATGCTTGGAAAAGTAGAAGGTAAGCAAAAAGGAGGGAGACCCTCAACAAGATGGACTGACACAGTGGCTGCAACAATGGGCTCAAACTTCGCAATGAGTGTGAGGATGGCACAGGACTGGGCGGTGTTTTGTTCTGCTGTATGTGGGGTCTTTACAAGTTGGAACTGACTCAACAGCACCTAACAACAGCAATCCTTTAAATCCTCCTTAATTAGAAGCCAGTTAGTCAAGACTCTCTGACTTGGGAACTATAGCAATGTGTCTGACCCATTTCACTAGCTACAGAGTTCAGCAGTAGGAGAGGACCAGTTTATCTCAGGGGAAGGCAGGGACACCGAATATATGCCTGCTTTTATTTAAAAGGGGTGTGTTGAAGGGTGGGTAGGCTGCCTTTCAATTGTATTAAGTCCGTAAGACAAGAGAAACTGGTTTTCACTGAAAAGGGAGATAGATTGTCCCTTCCCTTAAGGCTGGAGCTCTTTGCTCCAGTCAGCCTAGTAGACTTTTCTCTGAACCTCTCATCTCTGTGTCGCAATAGGGCAAGCCTCTTTTCATGCAGTGTGAGGCTCTGGGAAATGTACTTGAGATAAGTGCAAGGCCTTATCTTTTCAATATGCTTTCACATTGCTTCCGGACAAGGTTTTTCTTTTTTTGTTAGAGCCAGACCAAGGGGCCCAGGGACAGTGCTCCAACACCTTGGGTAAGGCCCGCTGTTTAGCTGCTCCCAGGAGTTTCCTCTGAAGGCTGGCTAAGTCACCTTCCCCATCAACTACTCAGATTTGAGCTCCAGTTTTCACACATTTCAGATCTAGGAAAGTGTAAGCACTGAAGTGGGAAAAGGCTTTACAAGGCAACCACCTGGTTGCCCTCTCCTTTTCCCTTTTAAGCTGCTTGGCCCTTTTACTCCCCTCAGTCTTCAGCTTCGGATTGATGGTCCTCTCTGGCACAGGCTCCTGCAACACTCACCTCCTATACCCCCTCTCCAAAACTTCTGAGCTGCCACTTCCCTCATCCCTTAGGCAGGAGGAGGCCCTGCAGGCACCCCATGCTGACTCCCCCACTCCTTCCTCTGCCACTGGCCCTCTGGCCCAGGGACAGTGGGGTCAAGTCACAAAAAAAGTGAGGGCCCAGGACCCTGGGAGAATTAGCCAGTAGGGAAGCTGGGACTGCTTGTGGCACATCTGGACTCAAGGAGGCAGCTGCAGGGGCTTTAGAAAAACACCGCCCAAGTCCCCACATTCTGCTTTTTGACAGGAAACTGACTCCCAAGAAATCCTGCTTGGAAACCCTTCACAGTGAAAGCAGCACAGCCTTCAGACCAAATCAACCCACTCAGATTCCCTTTGGCCATTTCCTGCTTCCTCCCCCATTCAATACCTCCTCCCCTCAATTCCCAGTCTTGGTTTTAAATGTTTCTGAACTGGGCTCAGAATTTTGTGAGGGTCCCTGGCCCCCTCAGATTCCTTCTCCTGAATTCTGGCTTTCAGAGTTGGACATCACAGTTAGTTCCAGGTTGTTCCTAATTAAATGCCGAGATTGAAAGAATCTAATGCTGGGATTAAATACCTTAATTACTTGGGAGAAAAGGCTTTCAGATTTAATGAGCTCTTGTAACCTTAAAAGGAGCTCTGGTGGCACAGTGGTTAAGGCATTCAGCTGCTAACCAAAATGTTGGCCTTTTGAGCCCACCAGCAGCTCCATGGGAGAAAGATGAGGCAGTCTGCTTTCTTAAAGATTTATAGCCTTGGAAACCCTATGGGGCTGTTCTGTTCTGTCCTAAGGATTGCTATGAGTCAACCAACTGGATATGGCAATGGGTTTGGGTGTAACCTTAAATCTTCCCAGGATGGAGAATTTGAAGGCTGGCTGTTGAAACCCACCAGCCACTCCTCAGAAAGAGATCAGGCAATCTAGTTCTGTAGAGAAACCCAAGGAGGGCTTGCTATGAGTAGAATCGACTTGACAACAGTGAGTTTGTGTGTTGTGTAAACGGCATAGACGATGGTAAAGGGTCATGCAAATGAAGTTTATTGACCACCAAACTCTGAAAGTTCTACCTGAAGTCTGCATACAAGGATGGAGACAAACTGGAGTGTTGTAAAACAGGTGGTGAAGGTGAGAGCTCCTATAGGTGAAAAATTTTTATAAGGGGTGAATTCTAAGCAAGAGGCTCTATTTTCATTTCTAACCACAAAAAACCAGGATCTCTCTTCCCACACTCTCCAAGCTTTAGTATTACACTGACATGGACAACACCAGCAACATTTGCTGACTGTCTAGAAAGGTCCTGATCTCCTTTCATGGGGGGCTATCCACACCATAATCTTCCTTCTGTGGTTCTTCTCACCCTCCTGGTTTGCAAGCTGATTTTGGAGAAACTGTTGCTTTCCGTAAGTCTCCTCAACACCATTAAAATGAGCAGAATAATTAAATCCAGTCCAAATTGGACACAAAGAGAGTTCTTGGTTAATTAATGTGCCAAGCTCCAGACCAGAGCTGCTAATCTACTCCGGAGGTGCCTGCAAAATCCCAGGCAGGGAAAAGTGCTCCAGTCTCATAAGAAAGTTGTCACTTGGCAAAAACAGTTCCCGTGTGGAGAGGAGAGTCACATTCCTATAGCCAGGAGTCATATGTTAATCTCACAGCTGACATCCTTGTGTAAATGAAAGGAGTGAGGTGCATGCACACAGTTTAGAGTCATTCCCCCTCAGCTCCCAAGCAGGCTGGGGCCCTGAAATCCTAAACTGCTGATGAATAACTGAGTTCACCAACTGCTTCTTCGTTAGCACCCAAGTCAGAATCTCACTGACCGAGAGGGCATTCTGTCCGGGAAAATGAAGTGAATGCGGACTCAACAAACTCCCTCCCTTTCACTTTGCCAACCCCACTCCCCACCCCATGTCCCTACCCCAACGGTCTCCCCTCCCTCCCTCGCACACAGTCTTGCCAGTCTTTGGCTAAACTAAGGCACAAACGCCAGCAGCCACTCACCTCTACACGGCAAACAACAGCAGCATTTAGCAAAGAGCCACCCCAAAGAGGGACAACGGTTGTAAGCCCGGTCGCTACCCTTCATGCTGCCCCGCAGCTCCAGCGCTCCTGCATGGCACAGGGAGCCAGCCAGCGAGGGAGAGCGCCAAGGAAAGGAAACTTCAGCTCTGTGCCCGGGAGTCCACTCTCCTCCTCCCCCGGGTCCTCTACCCGCACCGCGGCCGCGGCGCCGACTTCCAGCGAGCCAGAGCCACCTTGGGAAGGGGAGGAGGGGCCCGGGGTGGGGAGGGAGGGCCTGAGGGGGCGGAGTTCCAAGGTCCAGCTGTTTGCTGGAATCGCTGCCAACCGCGGGGCCCTGAACTTATGCAACATCGCCATTGGCTGCGGGCACAGGCAAGCGTTCAGAGGACAGTCCTACACAAAACCCCTGGCACAGAACTGGTATTCCTCTTTATGTGCAAAGGCCTCCCTCTCAAAAGCCAATCAGTCTGGCCTTAAAATATACAGCCAGATACGGCCAAAAAGGTGGGAGATGAACAGATTTAGAAGGTTCAACACTCAATAAAACGTTTTCGCACCAACAGATTCAACCTTTCTTTCCTCTCACCCTCCACAAACATAGACAGCTTCCTCTGTATTGAAAACATCTTCACCTAACTCTTCTTTTTCCTTCCGTTAAATCCTTGATACTAGAAATGGAATGTGAGTGGCTAACTGCCTCCATGAACAACTATCTTCTTCGCCATGAGACCAGAGAACTGGATTGTGCTTGGCAGCATAGTGGCTAAAGGCACTTGACTGCTAACCAGAAGGTTGGAGGTTCAAACCCACCAGCCACTCCTCGGAAGGAAGATGGGGCAATCTACTTCCACAGTGATACTGCCTCGGAAACCCAAGGAAGGGTCACTATGAGTCCGCACATAACAACAAACAACAACATTACTGAACATCTTATTCAAAAAGTCTATACGTGACCTGATCAAAGGAGGGATAATGTGAAAGAATTTCAAATTGTCATGGAATCTAGACTTTCTGAAGCCACCGAGGCTGGACAAACCCCTGAAACTATTGCTGAGAGATGATCTTTAAATCTTCAACTAAATATATCCTAAAGTCTTCTTTAAACTGAATACCAGTTTAGCTCAATTAGTAAAGAATATCTGCCTTGAGTATTGCTTTCTTTTGAAGAACTATCTATGTGGGATCAAGGTCACAACAGCAACTAAAAATGTTAGGAAGCTTAGGCAGTGAGTTTATGTTAATGGGGGAGGAACAATTTGGAAAAGAAGAGTCAGAATGGTTGCACAACTTGGAGAATGTAATCAATGTCACTGAATTGTACATGAAGAAATTGTTGAACGGGTGTATGGTTTGCTGTGTATATTTTCAACAACAACAACAAAGTGCCCCACTTTTTTTTTTGGCTCTCTGGTTGGAAGGATGTGCAAGAACACTCTGAATTTGCACTCGTGAAACCAGAGTTCAAAGCTCAGTTTTGTAGCTTACTAATCCTTTCCTCCAGCAGTGATTCTCACCTCTAGCAATGCCTGGCCTTTCTCCAGGTTCTGATTCAGTAAGTCTGGAATGAAGTCAAGATATCTATAGCTTTTTGTTTTGTTGTTTTTGTTTTTCGATATCTATTTTTTATTTATTTTTTAAAGCTCTGCAGGTAATTTCAATGTGAAGTCAGGGCTGAGACCCCTGATCAGCTGAAGGCCACTCATACTCTGGAGTTAGCTCCTGCTTGAGTGTTCAATGTTTTCATTTCCTCAAACTGACAGCTGGTATTTTGACTCTTTCTTCCACTGACTGTAATGATCTCATGCTAATTTCACGTTCCTTAATCCTCACTTCCTTGTGTAGATTTCTGATCTATGAACTGTTTGATTGCTGATATCAGCAAATTTCCCCAAAATTACCCAGTCCTTAGGAGCTCTGGTAGCATAGTGCCTAAGGCACTTGACTGCTAACCAGAAGGCTGGCAGTTCAAACCCACCAGCCACTCCTCGGAAGGAAGGCTGGGCAAACTACTTCCGTAGTGATACTGCCTTGGAAACCCAAGGAGGGGTTGCTGTGAGTTGGAGGCGACTCCACTGCACGCAACAACAACAACAAATCCTCACTTCCTTGTGTAGAATTCTGATCTATAAACTGATTGATTGCTGATATCAGCAAATTTTCCCATCCTGGCCTCCAAGGCTGGTAGTTCAAACCTACCAGCCATTCCTCGGAAGGAAGGTTGGACAATCTATTTCCGTAGTGATACTGCCTTGGAAACACAAGGAGGGGTTGCTATGAGTCGGGTCCAAGTCGACGGCACGTAACAACAACAGGCCTCCATTTGTGATGGTGGCTTAAAACTCCAAAATTCTTGCCAAATGTTGGTCATTCACTTAACAAATAGTTAATTTTATATATTACTATCCGGAACTCACTAAATTAAGCTGTATGGGAAATATAAATTGAGTAAAGACATGTTCTATGAGTAAAACCACAGGAGAAGAAAAAGGTGAGTTCTAGGAGAGGTAGTTGGTTCAATTTTCCATGACAGAAAATGGAAGTGGAGACAGACCAAAACTGGACATAAGGTAGAACTTTCTGCTTTGTGTGAAAAAGAACTGAGTAGTCACCAGTAACCAGAAACATCTGAAATTAGAGAAAGACAAGGTGTACATTGCATCTATATTTAATTTAAACTCTAAATCTTTTTTTTTAAATTGTATAATATCCATGTGTATAAGTATTCCCAGACGGTATGTGTTTTCATAATAATGTCTAGAGGAAATCATGACTGCATTATGCATAATAATTACTTCTCCTAATTTTCTCCATTTATAGTGGCCTAGCCATCGCACAATCAATACTCATGGAAGGAGCAGTCAACCATTCAGACTAGGACAAATTTTATTAGGCAAATCTGCTGCAAAAGACCTCTTTAAAGTGTTAAAGAGCAAAGATGTCACTTTGAAGACTAAGGTGCACCTAAACTAAGCCATAGTGTTTTCAATAGTTTCATATGCATGTGACAGCTGAACAGTGAATAAGGAAGACTGAAGAAGAATTGATGTATTTAAATTGTGGTGTTGTCAAAGAATGCTGAGAATCCATGGACTGCCAAAAGAAAGAACAAATCTGTCTTGGAAGAAGGACAGCTGAATACTCCTTAGAAGTGAGAATGACCAGACTTTGTCTCATGTACTTTGGTCATGTCAGAATGGACCATTCCTTGGAGGACTTTATCATGCCTGGTAAACTAGAGGGTCAGTGAAAAAGGGGAAGACCTTCAGCGAGATGGATTGATACAGTGGCTGTGATGACAGGCTCAAGCATAGCAAAGACTGTGAGGATGATGCAGGACCAGGTACTGTTTCATTCTGTTGTACACAGGGTCACTATGAGTTGGAGCCAACTGTCTAATGTGGAACCACCTTTGCACTCCTGGCATAAGTTCTACTTGACCATGGTACATTCTTTTAATATGCTTTTGGGTTCATTTTGCTAGTATTTTGTTGAAGATGTTTCCATCTATATTCATAAGAGACACTGATTTGCAGTTTTCTTGTGGTAACTCTGTGCAGCTTTGGTGTCAGAGTAATGCTAGCCTTATAGGATGAGTTAGGATGTGTTGCCTTCTCTTCCAATTTTTGGGAAAGTTTAAGAAGGATTTGGGTTACTTCTTTTGAAAATGTTTGACAGAATTCCCAAATGAAGCCATCTGCTCCAGGACTTTTCTTTTTTGGAAGGTTATCCTGTATGTTTTCTACTACTGCAACTCCTCTGTACTTGCCCATCTGACACTTGTCTGTCTCTTTCTGGATGTCTCATTCTCAAGAAAGTTAAGTCCTAGCTTATCTGGTCAATCACCCTCTTTTTCTTCAGAAAGGAAGGATAACTGATCACCATCTGGCCTGAACCAGGCCCAGAGTAAGGGGGAACAGACAATATTATGAGATTTCACAGAAGACCCTGGAGTCTCCCCAGAGCAGCCAAAGTTCACGCCCTTCTGTGGGATAGAAAGGGAGAGTTGCTGCAGGGATGGGTTCTTGGAGATTTGTGCTAAGCAGCCGACTGAGCAGGCCTGAGCTCAAGAGGAGATGAGCTATTTATCAAAGTGAAAGATGACGGCAGCTGGAGTTGCTAAAAACAAACCACTCCAGGTTTCATCTAGTTCCAAAAATGTTTACCTCTAAGTAGGTCAAAGTGTTCTCAAAGTAGGGCAGTGAGAAGTGCCAGTCTATCACTTTGACTGAGTTCCAATTTAGGAAGGCTTACGATTGCTAAGTGTCCACTACACTTTTAAGTGTAGTGTCCACTACTATTTTAATTTTGACAGTCAATGCCATCTTCCCTCCCACAGTGAGAAGCACCGGCTGCAGCAGCGTGTAGATTCACCTGGTACACTAAATGGAAAGTGGATTTTGTCTTAATGTAACTCAGATCAGTTTATTAAATATTTCCAATCATAGGAGGAATTAGGAAGACACTGACCATCCTCATATTTCTGAATTTTCAACCATTCATAATAGATGAGATGTTAGCCTATGTGTCCCTGCAGAAAACATCTCAGGAAATAGGATTTCAAAGACTACTTCAGTCAGAACTCCCAGCACCAGAAAAATTTTCCCTATGTCCAACCTGACACCCCCTGCTAATGCTTTAGCCAGTTTCCTCTATCAGTTCTTATAGCATAGAGAACACAGTTGAGCCTGGTCCTTTATATGCACTCTGCAGGGATCCTTGGTGGATGGTCTGTCCTCCTTCCTTACTTGCATCCATCCTTCCTCCCTCCCTCCCTCCCCTTTTCCCCTCTTTCCCTTCCTTCCTCCATCCCTCCCTTCCTTTCTTCCCTCTGAGAAATGAAGGTGGCCTCTAGAATCTGAAGAGAGCAGGGGAAAAAATTGTCCTCTTGTGCCTCCAGAAAGGAATGCAGCCCTGCCAACACCCTGATTTTAGTCCACTGGGACCCATGTTGGACTCTAACCTTCAGAATTGTAAGATAATATATTTATGTTGTTTTAAGCCACTATGTGGTAATTTATTACAGAAACCACAGGAAATTAATACATAGCAAATCAAGTCAGATCAAAGGCTGCAGGAGAGGTTTTGGAAGTCTTCTTCACAGGCCACATGTATTTGAAGTGAGACAGGAGCCATCAGAACGTTCTGAGCTGAGGAGGGTCTTCGACTCAGGCTTCCTCCCTATGCTCAGGAGCCATCCATAGAAACTGTCTGTCTGACCAC